TAAACTTGATTATTATTTAGTTACTGGTGTTTTTGTGTGTGTGTGTGTGTTTTCTTTTTTTGGCAATAAAACAGAACCATGAAAATGATGCATTTGACTGTGTGCGGGCCCACCTCTCCACAAATGGAAATAGATCATTTTAATGTCATACTATTTCCAGGTAAACCAACAATATCTCAGAACCTCTACCCGGAAAGTTACTCAGTAGACCTTTAATATATACATAGCAATTATGTTGGATTAGCCCAGATGTAGTGTTTACAAGTGTTTATAGAGAAAGTGCTAATTTTCACTTTTAAATGGGGTTAGAGTCCAGAAAGGAATGTTAAAATGAAAAAAGTTAAATATATACAAAAGTAAATAGTTACATAAGACATAAAACAGACTCAAGGCTCATTTCAAACACGATGTGAGCTGCTCTGGCCCGACTTCAACCACACTTCAGATGACTTTAAACATTTATAATTCATTCTATAAATATCCTTTTATATCTTGACACATTTTGACCATAATGTCATTTTTTTTTTTTTTTTTGGACTTGCATTTAAAGAAGACTTACACTGTGTCAGCTATAGCTCTACTCTATGACAGTACGGATCATTATGTTATTATCTGCACCTTTATTCATTACAATATTAATCTAAAACAACTTAATAAAATAAACAAGTCCGCTAAATTCCACTCTAGAAAATTGCAGAGCCCAATGGGAGGTGACGCTGTTGTAAACATCATGACAACAAAGAATCAGCACTTTTGATGGATCACACTCACGAGCAGCACAGTTTTGTTTTTGTTTTTTTCATTTGTACCAAAATTACTATGGGACGCCACCAGATCCTAGGTGTATCACTGAATAAGAGATAAAAAAAAATACTGGAGAACAATGTAGGTACAGAGCAGTGGGCGTGGAGCCAGGCTGTCGCCACCTAGTGCCTCCGCTGAGTTTCATTTCTCTCCAGGGACTAGGTCAGGAATCAGAATACACTAGACGGTTCGCAAAAAATCCGGAAGTACGAGTCTGGGCTCCAGCCAATCAGCGAAGACCCATATATTCTGTGTTGGCAACGATTCCCGAGATCGAGGATTTAAAGCCGGAACAAAGAGAATGTTTGGTGAATTTTATCAAGGGGAAAGACATTATTCTTCCTACAGGATTTGTTATATACGTCATGACCAAATAGCAGCGATTGGTTAAATAAAAAAAGTACCCGCCTACCGTCGAGTGAACGAATAATGCTGCCAGGTCAGACAGTTTCCACAAAGTGAAACCGTCTGATGAATCAGGCTAGTGGGCGTGTACCGTGAAAATGGGGGTTGATCAGCAATAAGGCGTCTTGAAAATAATTTCTGTCTTGTTGACGTGACATTTTTGTATTGATACTTGTTCAAATAAGTATCTAGTTTTGTCTAGAATCTGATTTTCTATATTTTTTCTGTTCTTTGTGCAGTTCTAATTACTTACTACTGCACATCTCCGATCAGACGATACAAAAACAAGTGAGGTTTTGTGATGCCGTATACCGTCTAGCCTGTTTTTAGACTTTGGATGGGAAACAGCACTCCGCGTGTCCACTGTCCCTCTGTCCACTCTTTAATATTGTGTTAGTCATTTCCAGACCTGCTCCGTGTCTATACAGCCCATATGATACTCCCGCTGTGTACTCTGGGGATACTTCTCTGTCATTACCGCTTCCTGAACAAGATAAATACACGTTTTATGAAGTACTCCGCTGCAGCCTCTCATTCAGAACTACCCTGAACCATAATTTATCAAAATCTACACCGTGTTATTACCGTGCATCATCAAATTCCTCCCCAAGGACACAACTCCGATTCTGTCTGTGTATACGTGCTCATTTGGGAAGTCTACGCAGTATTGTAGTACAAAGAGGAGGATTAGTCTGTGCGGCAGGGTGGTTAACTTGTCACCTGTTACTGCGGTTATTTTAACTCCTGCTTGTCAGTAAAGGAGGAGGTTGTGGGTTAGACTCCTGATCTGCATGTGACCCTTGTGTTTCTGTTTTTTCTTTCTACCATTCAAAAAACAATGAAGAATCTGAAACATGTTCTAATTAAGGATGCTTTTTCTGTTCCGATACTGATTCCGATACTATCTGTTGATATCCGATATTGACTGAAAATAGGCCAGAGACTAAATAAATTAAAATTATAGTTCATTTCCTTTAAATACACAGCGTATGGTTAAAAAAAAATCAACGTTGAAAAATATTATGAGGTGTTTGGGCTCACTTCTGTCAGTAAATCGTCTTATTACACAAATGTATAAACCTATTTAGGATATCGACCAAAACCGATATCTGATCCATCAAAATTTTTCAGAATTGTATGGTTTATACCCAGTTATAATCAGTCTTTATAGTTTACATGGAACTCTGTAATCTCAGAATATAATCCCATCTCTGTCTTTTTTTATTCCAGGCTGATGTTTTAGACCAGTGGATCCCCAACCTTTTTTGCGCCACGGACCGATTTTATATCAGATAATATCTCGTGGACTGGAGGTTGTTGGGGGAGACCTGTTTTAGACCTGTTTTTAGACCTGTTTTAGTCCTGGTTTAGAGCTGGTTTAGTTCTGGTTTAATCCTGGTTTAGTTCTGGTTTAGTCCTGGTTTAGAGCTGGTTTAGTTCTGGTTTAGTCCTGGTTTAGTTCTGGTTTAGTCCTGGTTTAGTTCTGGTTTAGTCCTGGTTTAGTCCTGGTTTAGTTCAGCTGGTTTATTTCTGGTTTAGTCCTGGTTTAGTTCTGGTTTAGTCCTGGTTTAGTTCTGGTTTAGTCCTGGTTTAGTCCTGGTTTAGTTCTGGTTTAGTCCTGGTTTAGTCCTGGTTTAGTTCTGGTTTAGTCTGGTTTAGTTCTGGTTTAGTCCTGGTTTAGTCCTGGTTTAGTTCTGGTTTAGTCCTGGTTTAGTTTTAGTTTCTGGTTTAGAGCTGGTTTAGAGCTGGTTTAGTCTGGTTTAGTCCTGGTTTAGAGCTGGTTTAGTCCTGGTTTAGTCCTGGTTTAGAGTTTAGCTGGTTTAGTTCTGGTTTAGTTTAGTCCTGGTTTAGTCCTGGTTTAGTCCTGGTTTAGTTCTGGTTTAGTCCTGGTTTAGTCCTGGTTTAGTTCTGGTTTAGTCCTGGTTTAGTTCTGGTTTAGTCCTGGTTTAGAGCTGGTTTAGTCCTGGTTTAGTCCTGGTTTAGAGCTGGTTTAGTTCTGGTTTAGAGCTGGTTTAGTCCTGGTTTAGTCCTGGTTTAGAGCTGGTTTAGAGCTGGTTTAGTTCTGGTTTAGTCCTGGTTTAGAGGTGGTTTAGTCCTGGTTTAGTCCTGGTTTAGAGCTGGTTTAGTTCTGGTTTAGTCCTGGTTTAGTCCTGGTTTAGTCCTGATTTAGTTCTGGTTTAGTCCTGGTTTAGTTCTGGTTTAGTCCTGGTTTAGAGCTGGTTTAGTCCTGGTTTAGAGCTGGTTTAGTCCTGGTTTAGTCTGGTTTAGAGCTGGTTTAGTTCTGGTTTAGAGCTGGTTTAGTTCTGGTTTAGTCCTGGTTTAGTTCTGGTTTAGGGTTTAGTTTGGTTTAGTTTAGTGGTGCAGCCCACGTGGTGTACGGGAGGGTGACGGTCCGTGTGGCATACGGGTGGGGGGTTTAATATTTTTGGAAATATTAATTAAGTAAAACTGGACCAAAGTTCCCGTTTAACCCCGAAATTAAGAGTTATATTAACATTTTGTGAGTAAATAGGTAAGACTTTGTAGGGTTATCCTGATTTAGCTAAACAACACACAGAGGCGTTTTATTTTTACACTTTATTTTTGTTAAATTAAGATGAAATTATGAACAAAACTGGTTCAAACTCGTCTTCTCTTGTGAGAGTTTTAAGCGGTGGGTGGGAGGTGCCAAATTAACACCAAGGGAAGTTGAATTAACATCAGCTTCAACTATCAACTCTGGCAAATATCCAATCCAATCTCATCCACTTTGTTTCAGCACATTTCACAAACAAACAGTCTCCAAAGTGCTGCACAAATACATAATAACAATAATAAAATGATAAAATAAACTACTAAAATAATCATACGAGTCTTAAAATAATAAAACCAGTAAAATAAAATAAGAGCAAAATCATAGAATAGCAATAAATAAATAAATTAATAAAACCAATAAAAAATAATAAAAAAATAAAAATAATAAAAAAAAATAAAATAAATAAAATAAAAAAATAAAAATAATTAAAATAAAAAAAATTAAAAATAAATTAATAAAATAGTTAAAATAATACTTTACCGTAAAATTTTAACCCTCCAGTTTGTGCTGCGTATAGGCTCGGTCTGTGTAACTTTTCATTGGGTTTATCTGATTGTCTATTATCTATTAGAAACAAAATATGTGAGCTGGTGAAGTTCAATCTGGTTTTAAACATGGACAGACAAATGAGGAAGGTGCTATGGAAAGTTCATATGGTAGAAGTTAGTGTTAAAACTCAGGTGGTGGTGAAGAGGAGGAGATGGAGAGGCTGAGGAGGCAGTTTTTTTTTTTTTTTTTTAAAGCACATTGGAGAAGAGAGAGAGAGATGAGACATGTTTACGTTTCTTCTAAATCATTTTTCCTTTAGTACTTTTTTCTTTTTTTTTAATGCACATTCTTGAACATTATAGCCCCGGGATATATAACATGCACGGGATAAACCACACCAATCCGCGGTACTGGAGCCGAGCCCAGACAGAATTATAGAATTATAGCCACAGTGTTATTTTTGTGAAATCAAACTGCCCGTGTTTTGACGACTGGGCATTGACAGGTTACGCAAAGGTCAGATCAGATTTTGACGAGCTTCTTCTGTATTTTAACAATAAGAAACCCTCCACTAGAAATGTTACACAGTGCATCTTTAAAATCATCCAAATGCGTCACTTTGCACGGGCCACTTTAACCATCACGATGCCTTTTGGTTCTTTATTTCATCTTCCAGATCTACTTTCATGGTACAGTCCCTTTACCGTGTTTCTCCTTCTTTGTCCAGAGCTGCAGCAGAACGGCCGGATCATCACGCTGCCGCTGGAGGCCGGACACGTGCACTCCCTGCTCCCGGACGACGACGGGAAGAAACTGTACGTGGCCACCAAGGACACTCTGCTCTCCGCCAACCTGGACGACATCAGCCACGACCCACGCAAGGTTAGAACACAGCACTGATGTTATATTACTTTTTTCAAGTATCAAAAGAGCTTGTTGCTAATCTAAAACTCGAATTAGTTCACTCTTAGTTTTCAAAATTTACATGTATTAAAAAAAAAAAAGAAGAAATGTTGCAAATACAGTATATAGCCTAGACCGTGGGAACATAATGGCAAGTAAAAAGCTTATCCAATTTTGATGGATTTTAATACTTGGGCTTTAAATAGATTTCCCGGTAACACTTTATAATAACTACACCTTATTTAGCCTTAATAAAGGATGAATAAAAACTTAATTAATAATGAACAAAGACTTAATTAACAATGATTCACGCTTAGTAAATGCTTAATAAAGCATAATTCGTCTTCACTTTAGAAAAGCTCTCAAAAAGACTTAACTAACAGATAACAGCTGCCTGAATTATCATTGTTATTATTATTAGTAAAATCATTCTCTCATAGTTTACTAATCATTAATAAATGCTCAAATGGTTAGTTCATGAGTAATTAAGTATGAAATAATTATGAGTAACTATTTACAGCACAGGCAAATTAAGTGCAAGTGCGACTTAAGGTAGTAATTAAGTAGGTACTAAGCGTGAATCATTATTAATTAAGTCTTTGTTCATTATTAATTAAGTCTTTATTCATGCTTTATTGAGGCAAAATAAGGTGTAGTTTTTATAAAGTGTTACCGTTTTATGAAGGGATCCTATTTCAGTGACTAAAAATAACATTTATAGCATTTATTGTAAAACAAAACAAAATCAAATGATTAAACTGATCAAAATGTGTTCTGTTTTGATCCTTTAACTGGGAAACTGTCACATTTAATCCGTGTATCGTTCGTTCATTTGTTTTTCAAAATAAAATCAAAAATAACAAAAAAAAAACAACACAATTTTCTTATCTCTAAAACCAAAATAAAAAAACAGATAACGATTGATTTGATGATTTGTTTTTTCAGTTTTTGATTTTGTGTATAAATGAATAATAGAAAAAAACAGATAACGGATCATTTTAAGTTTCTACGATGCCGGACTGAACCAGGACTAAAACAGGAGGACTAAACCAGAACTAAACCAGATCTAAACCAGGTCTAATCTTGGACTAATCTTGAACTTGAGCGAGAGAGACAGGACTTTTTGTCCACGGTCACCCAACAGTCTACGTGGGAGCACCTTCAGGCCCATTCCAACACTCAGTCTTGGTTCAGTTCTGGTTCAGTTCTGGTTTAGTCCTGGTTTAGTCCTGGTGTAGTCCTGGTTTAGTCCTGGTTTAGTCCTTGTGTAGTCCTGGTTTATTCCTGGTTTAGTCCTGTTTTAATCCTGTTTTAGACTTGGTTTAGTCCTGGTTTAGACCTGGTTCAGTCCTGTTTCAGTGCTGGTTTAGACCTAGTTTAGTCCTGGTTTAGACCTGGTTAAATCCTGGTTTAGACCTGGTTTAGACCTGGTTTAAACCTGGTTTAGTCCTTCTAGTTCAGTCCTGGTTCAGTCCTGGAACTGAAAATACGAATAGTTGTCAGTTTTTTTCATTTTGATTTTAGAGACAAATAATGAAGAAAATATTTGTTTTTTGTTTTGTTTTTTTTTTTTTTTTGGTTTTATTTTGAAAAACAAATGAACGAATGATACACGGATTACTTTTGCACCTTTAAGGCACTCAAAGCTCTTTACATCAAGGAACCGCTCACTCATTCACACACCAGAGTACATCAGAGTACACAGACACCGGAGGGGATTTGGGTTAACTGTATTGCCCAAGGACACAACGACAACATTGATGTGTGGGAGCTGGAATCGTAGCACTAAACTGCGGCTTGACTAAAGATGTTTTATGTCGAGAGAGCGGGATTTGAACCACCAACAACTGAACCAATCCAACTATTTTTTTCTGGATCAACGGCGATATTCCACTGTCAGTAAATCCTAATTTTGATTCACTTTTGAAAATGTCAGACTGTTGGAACACTATACAACCCACAATGTTATTCCAGTGCAGATCATTAGTTCTTCTTCTTTAAATGCCACTGAGGAAATCTATCTTTCAGCAGAAGTTGGGACATGGTTGAAACATGCGTCAGACCGAGATCGAAGGTGGATAGAGAGAACAGAGGAAGCTCACACCCACTGAGTAAACGCACTAATATCCTCGGATCACTATCTCAAACACTGGATCACATACTTCTCCTTTCTCTGGCCTTTTGAAGGGTTTAATCATTTACTACAGATACTACAAATACTACTACCCACTTTACATTTTTGTGGAGTTCAAATATGTTTTTTTCGCTTGATGTTTTTGGGCTAATTACCAAAAAGCTCTTCTCTGTATTGCTGCAAGAAATTCAATCTTTAGCTTGTTTGGTTTTATATTTTACGGAGATTTTAGCAGCACTGCCTTACTAACTATAATTTATTTATTAATTTATGTTTTTGTACTTTTTTTACTCTACAATATTGACTTATTGTTCAGTATATGAAAGCTGGAACAATAATTTTTGGGGCTCAAAATTTACATTTTCTTTACAATAGTGGGAAGATTTTAGACATTTTTTTATACTATGATAAGATTTGAGCTGAAGAGTTAAGAGTTGAGAGTTGAATAAATAACTTCTATGGCTAATTATTGGTTAATTATGATATTTATTTGTTGCAGCTCAGGTCTTTTAATGATATTATTGTGATATCGTATCGTCAAAGTTCTCACAGTAATATCGTGGACCATCACAATATATCGAATTACAAGTCTCTTTGCTTAAATTAAGAGTTATAGTGCCGCAATAGCTAAAAAAAACAACAACAAAAAACAGGAAACTACATAGACCATGATCCTTTGCTCCGTTTCAGTGCAGACTACAAGAAGAAATAACAGTTCTGAGCACTTTTACATCTTAGTTCTTTGGATTAAGTCTTGTCAAGGCATTTTAAGAGGAAAAATATTCACAGTTTTGTTATCCTTCACAACATATCGCAATAAATATCGTACCATGAGATGTATATCGTGAAAATATAGGCGAGTTTCATTGTTGACAAAAGCGCGCGTTGCATGCTGGGAATTATTTTGGTCGGCGGCAAGAAACACTAATTCAAGATGACGGACGGAGTGAGAAAGCACGTAAAGGGTATTGATCCCGGTTATTTATCCACTCTAACGGCAGAGGACCCAAGACCTTGTGACCAGAAATTTTTCATAAGCATCGACGGACGACAAATCACCCTTTTCAACCCCGACAAAAGGTGGACCAAACCAAATTTCTGGTCAGAATCGCCAACTACCTGGACAAATATTCACTTCGGCGATATCCACAATGACTTGGTGGAAACTCCTGGGCCATTCACAGCAGAAAAGATGAAAACCTCCAAGAGTCTCGATGTGTTGTTGAACTTGTTGGAGTCCACGGTTTGTTAGGATCTTCTACGTTTGCTCTGCGGATGTTTGAAAGCCGTTTAATTCACCGTTAGTGGTTCTTTTCACTCGGAATACGAAAAAGACATTTTCCTTCTTCCGTGCTTCTATTTGTGCATCCGATAATGCAGCAGGAATTTACCATTATCGGGATAAATACGCGAGGTTACGCACTGTGTTTGACGCTATCGTGTTTCTTGCCTCCGACCAAAATATTTCCCAGCATGCAACGCGGGCTTTTAATAACAATGACGTCAGCTGAAACTCGCCTTTTGTACCGAGAGATTTGGATATTGTTACATCCATAATCGTGAACCTCCCCACCATATCATGAGCTTTCCCACGGTATCGCAATAAACACCGTACTGTGAGTTTCATACCGTGACGATATCGTATCGTGAGACTTGGATATTGTTACACCCTTTGTGTCAGTGGCATAAAGTAGTTTCAATATTATGGTTTATCTCATTATTTTACTGTAACAATATAGTGGTGCTTCTAGGTCATCATCATTGGACCCATTTGAATGAACCCTCTGCCACTTAGAAATGATGAAAAAACTCAAATAATCGCACATAAAACTGACTTGAACCACCCCGACTGAAACAATAAAGGTCAACGCCACATTTTTGGCTGTTTATTGTGAAGGTTTCAGATAACAGCATCCAATCAAAATGGATCGAGTAAGAATTATTTGACCTAGAAGTTAAAATATTCAGAGTATGTGTTCTGCAAATGTTTGGCAAATTTGTACAGGGATTTTCTTAGAGGGCACTCAACTGGGTTTGTTGTCCCGTGAGTCCAAAATGGAACACAGAAAAAAAGTGAATATTTTTATGATTCAAGGCTAAATATTGGTTCAAATCCACCCACAGGAAAACCCTCGTCTTGAACACTGGTGAGTCTAGTTCTGATTTAGTCAAATGGATATTCTTGGCTCGGGTAGGTGTGTTGTGGTCAGTCCTGGTTTGGACAATAGTCCTGGTTTAGTCCGGGGTTACTCATGTGAGAGAGTTTCCCCTGAAGTGTGGTTTCTTGGGAGGTTCCAGTCTTTCCCAAAGCTGAGTTCTTCATGTTAAAAGGGTCAGTTTGCAGGTTACACATTTGTCATCTACTGGTAACAAAAATTCAAATAAACTTAAAGGTGGACTGTGTAGCTTTTTCTCTCTTTTTTCTTTTTTTTTTATCTCATTGCTCTGCCTAGAATGTTCCAGAGTGGGGCATTAAACACATCTACCTTTCATGCATTCATTTACACGTAGTTTTATAGCTCAAAAATACATAGAAATACAGACATTCTGACTGTGAGAGGGGTTGAACCTCCATAGATCTGGTCTTTTTTGGTCTCCGCGAAAATATAAAGGTTTAATGCCATAATACCCACGTTTACATTATGTTTTTTTTTTAATTCCGAATGAATTGTTCTGAATTAAATTGTTCTGAATTAAAATATTCTCCTTCTAGTTTACATGAAAATAATAATTCCGAACTGAGGTTTACATGGAATTAAATCGCACATTACACATTAAATCGCCTTTATTTAATTCTCCTCAACGTCTGAGGGTGAGGAAGTGTTCCGATTGGACAGGGACACCA